TTTCTTTATTCTTCCTTTCTTATTTGATTCATCCACATTGTTTCCGTCCCCCTTAAACTTTCCTTTCTTTCTTTCTTTCTTTCTTTCTTTCTTTCTTTCTTTCTTTCTTTCTTTCTTTCTACCTACCTATCTATCAACCTGTGTCTTTTTACATTTTTATCTGTTTTTTGGGGGGGTTTTTTTCGTTTTGTTTTCTTTCATTTTCTTCAATTTAACTTAAGTAGCTACATTATAGACATGATATTTTTAATTTCTTTCCTTTTGTTTTTTTAACTGCTTATTTTTCCTTCCTACATATATGACTTGGTTCTTTTCGCTTTCTTTCTTTCTTCCTTCCTTTCTTTCTTTTTTCTTAACTGATTATGCCTATATATTTCCCCCTCAAACATTTCTTTCTTTCTTTCTTTCTTTCTTTCTTTCTTTCTTTCTTTCTTTCTTTCTTTCTTTCTTTCTTCTTAACTGATTCTTCATCCTTGTTTTCTCCTAAACATTTTCATTGTTTGTTTGTTTGTTTGTTTCTTTCTTTCTTTCTTTCTTTCTTTGTTTCTTTCTTTCTTATTTGATTCTTCCACTTTGTTTCGCTCTCAAACTTTCTTTCTTTCTTTCTTTCTTTCTTTCCTTCCTTTCTTTCTTTTCTTTTCTTTCTTTCTACTTATCTATATGTGTCTTTTTACATTGGTATCTATTTTTATTTTATTTTCTTTCCTTTTCTTCTCTTTAACATAAGTAGCTATTTATAGTCATGACCTTTTTAATTTGTTCCTTTTCTTTTTTACTTGCTAATTTTTCATTCTTTCATATATTACTTGGGTCTTTCTTTCTTTCTTTCTTTCACTGAAACTAAGTAGTGTATTTGCCCATTTTCCACGCGATCAAAAGGGAAATGTGCATTATTTATGCAGTATTACCAAGCAGTAAAAGATCGCCTAAACTAACAAGCACAATTTTAATAAAGCTCCTTTTTTTTTTATTAATCCAGGTGCGATAATTTATCTACGAATATATTCCGATAGGAAATAGTTGAAATGAATATAATTTTTTGCTTCTTTTGTTAATAAAATCCTCCTTTTGAAATACGTGTTTAATAAATTCGACTTTGGAGTTATTCGTAAAATAGAATCTATTCTTGAAATATTTGTTTGAATTCTAATTCTGAAAACAATAATCAATAATTCGAGATTTTACAGTTTTTTTTTATTTTTATTTATTGGGGGTGTGGCGAGGGTTGTAAATAAATTCTTCTTTTGAGGATTTGTTTCATAAATTCCAGTTTTGACACATTTAATTAATAAATTCTAAATTTGATTTATTGTTTCATAACTTATAACTTTTAGGTAACTTTAATAAATTGCATTTTTAACCTTTCTAGATTTGAAGAATTTCTTTCATAAATTCTAGTTTATGATTTAGTAAAATATAATTCTGTCGTAAATATTTTTTAAATTCTAGTTTGAACCTACCGTATATATTCGAGTAAAATACGAGTTTTTATGATAGGTATGCTAAGGTTTTTTAGGGTTTTTTTTACGTAAAATTGTGGGTGTCGCACAGGTCTTTTTTTAACAGATAAAAAATCACGCAATTTAGCTGCTCAGTTGCACTATATACCTGTAGACTTTATCTAGAAGTGTTAAAATTCATGTATTTTCGGTCAGCGTAACATACTTGGTAGGTCTACATTCTCACGTTATCTTTGGCTAATCTTAACGGCATATGTAAATTCTTTCAGTTTGCCTCCCGTAACTTAGATTCTTTCTTTCTGTTGCTACATGGACAGCAGAACGTCATTCCTTATACGTGCCGCTTAAAATCTACAATTACCTCATATAAATGAGGAATTTAACAATGATTTTTCCTTTCTCCAATTTGCCTTCAATTTTGTTCGCACGCGTTTATATCGCTGAGGTATCTCTTAACCAACGGCACCCCTTTTGTCTGGTACGTAAGTTATGAATAATCAAGAGTGGTCGCCCCTTGTTTTGTTACACTCCTCTTTTAGAGAGCTATTTCTGTTTACTGGGACTATAAAAGGACACTATACGCAAACCTTTTATTCTCAGTTGAATAATGCTTTCTTAAAGCCTACACCTTCGTACTTTTGCCATTACAAGATTTCAGTTGCGTTCCTTATTTTGTCTCCCCCTCTTTGCTTATATTTACTTTTATTTAATATAGTCTATACGTTTGCTGGTAAATTTTAGTCTTATAACTGGCTGCTATATATTATTAAAATATTTTGATAAATTGCACGGCAACATACGATAAATGATGATTGCCAACGGTGAAATATCAAATCAATTTGATTTCTAGCAGCTTCATTTATATATCAGATATTTCCCGGTAAGTCGATTTCCCCGCCATTTTGGGGTTAGCTTTGTGAAATGCAGATGTAGGCTTTAAGAAAGCTTTATTCAACTGAGAGTATAAGTGTCCTTTTATAGTCCCAGTAAAGAGAAATAGCTCCCTCAAAGAGGTGAGTAACGAAAAAAGGGGAGACCACTCTTGATTATTCAAAACACTTTGTATAAAAATGAATGAAGAACATTTCTTTGCTATAAAATATGTCCAGGATGATGCCCAGTACTGCAATATTTGACTAAGGTAAACCGACTAGTATTGCTCTGAATCTGGTGTCACATTGTACACGAACTATATGAAAAAGTATAGGTTTATACTATATATATATATATATATATATATATATATATATATAGAGAGAGAGAGTGTATAAACCTAAACCAATATATATATATATATATATATATATATATATGAATATATATATATATATATATATATATATATATATATATATATGTTATAAAATAATTGATTTAAAATATGTTGTTTTCGCTACACAGTTCTAACCATGTTTCAAAATGGAAGCTAAAAGCTCCGAATTTAATTTTGTAATTTGTAATATTAATGCTCTGTAAATTTACATTGAGCACTATTTTGTAAAAATATCTATAAGAACACCGGATTATATATCTTACTGTTCTTCCTTATATATATATATATATATATATATAAAAATATAAATAAATAAAACTATTTTTAATCTATAAAAGCATTTAGAGATAATAAAGATTTGCAGATATAGGTCCTATTAATTAACCCTATCGGTTTCTAATTCCAAGCCGTTGTTCATTACTCCATACGCAAATATATTCCCAATCGGTCACCCATTTAGGTCCTGACCAGGCTCGGCGTTGCCTAACTTCGGTGATCGTACAAGAACCGTCGTTCTCAACCTTGATATGACCGCAAGCCGAGAGCAAGGATTCTTGACAGAGATCTTTTTTGTAAAATTTTAATGTTCTTATTTTGTATTTATTTATTAGTAATGACTATTATATTTTATAAATTTTGGTGCGTCACCTGGGGTTGCAATTTGTGGTCGCGTTTACGCCCCATTCTGTGCGTGGTTGTCAGGGCAATACCTGGCGTAAATGATGTTTGCTGCGATTGTGACCCGGGCAAGAAGCGACATTGAAATAAACATAGAAGGCAAGGAACAATTATAAAATTATCGCATAAAATCTCACACGCCAAATAAAATCAGATACGCTACTCATTAAATTTCGCAAACGTCTTAAGTGACGCCACTTCCCTTTAGGTGTGCGCAAAATAAAAGAAAAAAAAAGAACAAGCAAGGTCACGCCGACATGTGTAGAATCCACAGCTGAAAATAATATATAAGTAGAAATCGTGGAAACGTAACACACACGCACACACACACACACACACATATATATATATATATATATATATATATATATATATATATATATATATATAGTATTTATTGAAAATAGACCAAAAAGTAAATTTGAAAAGTAAATACTTAAGCGCAATTAATTCTCTATATATATATATATATATATATATATATATATATATATATATATATACATGTTTCTGTAGCACATTTCTTTATATATATATATATATATATATATATATATATATCTGTGATGTTTTGCAGCCCATTTGTTTTTTATATATATATATATATATATATATGCTTTTGCAGCCCATTTGTTTATATATGTATATATATATGAATATATATATATATATATATATATATATATATATATATATATATATATATATATATATATATATATATATATATATATATATATATATATATATATATATATATATATATATATATATATATATATATATATAAAAATAAGGGTAAATCAAATTTATGGCGGGAATTTCTGGGATGAGGAGTTATTTATGATATCTGAAATGAAGATGATGTTCAAGGCCTTGTTATGATCACAACATGGTGGACGTTCTGTCTGTCAGCCTATTTCCGGTGCATTGTTCATCCGGGTAACTTTTAGGAGATTTCGAACTGAATGTAATAAACAAAAAACCCAACAAGCAAATAAAAATAGAAAGGCAGGAAAATACGAAGAACAGCAAGAACCAGGATGTACGTGGAAATGTGGGTGTGTAGTAGGAGAAGAAGAAGAAAAGATGAAAAGAAATTTGGGGAAAAAGCCCTCGGGAAACTGGTAAGGAAAGAAGTGTAATGGGAAGTAAAGTGGAGGAAGTGTAAGAAAGAGGAGATATGGTAAGGAAAGTGAAGGAATGTATTAAAAAGAAAGGAAGGGTAACAAAAAAGAAGAAAGTGTACGAAAGGAGGATGAAGGGTAAGAAAAGTGGAGGAAGTGTAAGAATAGAAGAGGAAGGGTAAGAAAAGTAGAAGTGCAAGAAAAAAAGAAGGACAAGGAAAGAAGAAGAAAGGCAAAAAAGAAGAGGAAGTGTAAGAAAAGAACAGGAAATATAAGAAAGAAAAGGAATGATAGGAAAAGAGGAGGGAGTGTAAGAAAATATGAGGAAGGGTAAGAAAAATGTAAGAAGTGTAAGAAAAGGAGATGACAGGTTAGAAAAGAAGAAGGGCAAGGAAAAAGAAGGACAGGCAAAAAGAGAAAGTGTAAGAAAAGAATAGGAATGATAAGAAAAGAGGAGGAAGGTTAAGAAAAGGAGTGGAAGGGTAAGAAAAAGAAGGGTAAGAAAACAGGCGCAAGGGTAAGAAAAGTTGAGGAAGTATCAGGAAAGGAGGAGGAAGTGCAAAAAAAGAATAGGAATGATAAGAAAAGAGGAAGATGGGTAAGAAAAGGTGAGGAAGTGTAAGAAAAAAAGAAGGGTAAGAAATGAAGAAGGGTAAGTAAAGTAGCAGAAGGATAAGAAAAGAAGAGTAAGGGTAAGAAAAGAAGAGGAAGGGTAAGAAAAGAAGAGGAAGGGTAAGAATAGAAGAGGAAGTTCAAGAAAAGAAGAGGAAGGGTAAGAAAAGGAAAGAAAGGGTAAGAAGATGTAACACGGAAGGAGTATGAGAAGGCTAGAAGAAGAAGAAGAAGAAGAAGAAGAAGAAGAAGAAGAAGATAGATTTTTTCTTAAAAAGTAATTTTACCCCTAAATAAGGTTATAAAGCCACTAAGATGCAAGGTATTACTGAGTCTGGAAAAACCTGAGAAAAAAGAAAGACATTACTAAAGAGAGAGAGTGAGAGAGAGAGAGAGAAATAGAGTGAGAGAGAAGAATAAAAAGACAGGAATTAAGAAGACAGAAGATAAAAATTCACATTGCATTTAGATTTTTGAAGGTCAAAGTTGACTGGATATGAAGTGGCCGGAAGAGAGTTCAGCAAGCCAGAATTGCGAGAGAACAATTTTGGAAAATGAGAAGAGAGGTGGAAAAGCAAGAAGTCAGAAAAGGAGGAGTAAGGGAAAGCCAAGTAAGAGAGGGGGAAGTGCATCAAAAATAGAAGAGGAGGGAGAGAAGACTACGGACGAGAAGTGGGATGACATTAAGTTGGAGAAGAAGTTGAAGAAATCTAATTGAAAGAGAGAAAGGGGAGGAGGAGGAGGAGGAGGAGGAGGAAGATCAGGAAGTTGGAGAAGAAGTAGAAAAAAGAAAAGAGAGGATTCGGTTGGATCTGTTTAGCGGACTCTTAGCCTCAACGGGTTATTTAAAACCGATCTCTTAATAATTGGAACACAATTTTATGGCTTCAACTAAGTATATTTTGAACTCAACTGTATGCCTACAACCACAAATAAAATGTATTGTTGGTAATTATACTATAAAATGTATTGCTGGTCGTTTGGCTATAAATATTAGTAATTTTACTATTAAAATGTATTTTTATACTGTTAGGGAACTTACACCTATAAAGGACAATAAAATCAAAATAATTGAGTTACTTCCCTTGTCCGTTAGTCGGCGCGGGTACCTCTTGATTCAACATGGTGATAATTTTCCACGCAGGTTTAAATCGAAACTAATCCTTGCTGTTCTCAGGCAGAGAATGAAAAAAAAATGCACTTGTCTTTTATTTTCATTCGCTTTTGGGACAAAACAATATTTTATAACGTATATTTTCATAGTGTTTTGTTTTTGTTTAGTTGTTCATTATTTGCGCTAACATTTGCTACCACTCTGGGTCAAGGTGGACTACAGGACAGGAGAAATTAAGAGATCGTTCCACGCTCTTCAAAACCTTCAATCTCCCGATCAGAAGCCTTGCTGTCGGATGAAGTTTATCGCCATGCTAGAAAGAGACGAAAGAGAAAAGCAAACACATTATATAAGTGTAGAAAATTAGGAAGAGGTGAAAAGTCAACATTTTGGAAACGAGGAATTATCATTAGTTCCCTTATTCATAATGTCTTTGTTGTTGTTATCACAATGTTCTGGGAGTTTCCAGTCTCCTTCAAATGTTTATCGACCCACGCAACCTTCAAAGAATTTTGAATCGAACCCTTTAAAATGGTCGATTCTTATCAATGCTTTAATCGTTATGAGAATTAAATCTATAGTTAGTGAATTCGCTGACATAATAAACGTGAGTTTAAATCCTGGCCAGGCTAGCAATAAATAATAAAGACGATATATCTCTAGACATGGACAGTGCAATCATTATAATCTACCTCTGTGCATTGAATAGGATTTGCAGTTCGAAATTTCTTGAAGGTTACACATGTCGACAAATACCTGAAGAAGGACGCGGTGCAACATAGTCGAAATGTTGCCATCTTAAACATGTCAAGTAAAGATGTGGATATTAAGCTAACTTTAAATAATGTAAACATCTCTTTTTATATACGAGGGTTGTTCGAAAAATAAAGGCAATTGCCACGGATGAAAAACAAATACATATATCAGTTTTCGATGTTGCCCCCATCCCGAGACGACAATGCCATTATCCTGATATCATTCAACAAGCTCCCCCGTCTCTTTCGAAAAGAATCATTTCGATTGATCGCAAAGGCACGTCTGGACCATTTGCCTGTTTGGGTACCCAACGCAAAGGGTACCCTAAGTCGATATTCATTATGGCTTGTGCAGATTGATGGCTGATGCGTACGACTGCCAACGCTATTACTGACATGATTCGTTGGCCTTCCCAAGGCATCCAGCCTCTGGATGTGTTCTTCCGTGTGTAATGCTGATGAGTGGCCAGATCGACTTTTATCCGTTGCATTTGTTCTTTAAGCTTGAAAGACATGTCTTTCGTTGATTCATGATGCGATCTCCATACTGTGTCATTGGATGGATTCCATACCAGATTAACTCTCTCTGCCCACAGAAAGCGCACAACGACGCCTTGTTCCTCTATGGTTCAATCACTGAATGAAGCGTCCATACGTCTGACCTTATGGCTCTCTGCCACATAACAGTACGATGGATTGCTGCAAGCCGCTAGTTACCTGTCATCCCATACGCACGCATGGTGTCACAGATCACACGCCTCTTGTTGATTTTACCGCTTAATTTTAATAAAACATTTGTACATTTTCATTTATGTTGTACGAATCAGTACTCGCATCCTGGTTATCAAACTCACAAAATTTCGGCAGTTACTCTCTACGGATTTCTTCAGGTGTTTGTCATATGCCGTAATCTTAGGATTTTCTCCCAGCACTTTATTCCATTCATGGGAATCAATCATTTGTCTCATTTCACTTTCATTGTAAAAACACATAGCCTAATGTGTTGTGTAATGGTTAGCAAGATAATTTACGACTGAATATGGAGTGCGATCCTCACTGAGTGCTCCATACTTCCTGCATTGTGCCACATCTATGTTTCGCTTCGAAAACCACCATGTACCGTAGTGTAAAATCATCTGGTTCACTGTTTGCTGTGAGTTCAATTCCTGGATCAAGTAGTGCTAAAAAAAATCACCAACTCTGATTTAATTGGTATGAAAATATCTTTCAAGTGGATTCATGATCAGGTGCCAGTGATGACGAAATACATCTGATGAAGGTTCTGGATTACAACTGCCGAAACGCTGTGAACAGAACAACGAGAATCGGCATGCAAGTTTGTGTAATGATAACTAATAAGAAAAAGAAACATTCAAAGCTGGCAGGAATGGTCTTCCACGTGGAATGCGCATTAATTTCAAGCTCCGTGCCGAGAGAAAAGACGCCATTTGCAACCTCATGACTTGGACTATCATTTCATGAAAACAAGCAGCAATATGATCAAAAATAATCGAGCAGTGAAAATAATTTCGGCAAATTCCTTTACAAGTTTCCACCCGAAAAAAGTATTTCAAGACTTATACAATACCAAGCTTCCCTGTCCGTTTTAAATAATAAAACATGTTTACACCAGTCGATACATACATATATATATATATATATATATATATATATATATATATATATATATATGAATGAAAAAATATATACGGAAAAAACGAACAAAAATTCTTATATACAATTATGTTGTTGTTTTAATGTTAATATGTCAACGTCGGACGTTTCGGTCTAATAAACCATCTTCAGGACATATTCATAAATTATAATTAATATTATCAATTCAATAGTGGTGGTAGCTTGAACTAAACTCTAATATAATAACAATAATAATTTTGTAATTAAAATATAAAAAATTATAGCAATCTCCAACTACCATAATTTTACACAGAATACCTATTATCAGAATTTATACCAAAATAAATTAATACATATAACAAAATAAAACAAAAATAAAATAAAATACCAACAACCACTTTTTAGTTCAAGCTACCACCTCTATAACTGCATTTATGGTTTTATCATTCTCCCACCACCGTTACTAATCATTTCTACCAATTTACAACAACTATTAGCTAACTATCATTGTCTCCAATCCCTTGAAACATTACTATCACATCATATCATATAGACCCGTTATTAAATTGAACTACCCTCTCACCCAGCACATTGAATATTAAACTAAACATCACCATATAAATTATCCAATAAGGATTACAAATTTCTACCTGTTACATATACACAGTCACCAAAAACAAACAAATAACCAGCTTTAAATATAACATATAAACCCTCATTTTTTCAAAAAATTTAAAATAAATATAAATAATAATAATTTTTACCTATCATAATTTTACACAAACCCCACCACACGCATATACATACATACGATGAAATATTTTCAGCGCGAAAACACTTAATATGACATGTATACAGTAACGAGACATTTCCGCCACACTTCGAATGTTTAAATTTCAACATTTCAACATACAAATGCGTATGTATAGATATAACATCACCCGTATACATACATGTGTCATAGCCGAAACTGCCCACATATGTTTATATATGTATGAGTCCTGACGGACGACCAAGTATGTATATGTGTCTCGCATACATCGATGTTTGCGTTAGTACGATGAATGACAAAACGACGAATTTTTTCCCCACCTACTTCCACAATAACACCAATACACGCAATCTACATAAACCCAAATTTTTTAAAACATTAATCAGTTTGTCTGACGATCGCTAAAGCGTGAAACCCAGGGTCACAAACTCATCATCTATCCAACTAAATATATATATATATATATATATATATATATATATATATATATATATGATGAACTTTCAGTTCAGGTGTTATTTATATTTCGTATGAGACAACAATCCTTCACGGGATTTGCAATCAAATCCACACGATGGGCATACTAAAGGGTTGACCGTCATATCGGTTGATGTATTAGCCCGAGATTTAGTGTTGGTCTTAATTCTCTCATAGTTGAGACGATTCGTTTCAAAGTTATGAATAAAATTCCAATATATATATATATATATATATATATATATATATATATATATATATATATATATATATATATATATATAAGGAAGCGGAGACTTCCGAAAACCATGGTAACATTTTATTTCGTGAAATCGAAATATCGATTTCGCTTCCTCAGATCAAACGTTTTCAACAATGAATGAATTTAAAAGGCACAAAACGAAAAGCGAAAATTAACATAGATTGTGTTTTAATATATGTTTAAAAAGGTGAATGGAAAGG